CTCCCCGCCTGCCCCGTGCCAGCCCCAAGCGCCCCCCGAGTCCCGGCCCGCCCGAGCTCGTCGGCGCCCCGGGCTCCGATCTCCCCGGGGATAGCGACCCGGCTAGCCCCGAGCCGCCTAGAGCTCCCCCGGCCCCGAGCTCCACCGGCCCCGCCGTGCCCTGCGGCCGGCCAACAGAGGGAGAAGGAGAGGAGCAAGAGGAAGAAAGAGAAGGGGGAGGAGGAAGAGGAAGAAAGAGAAGGGGGAGGAGGAAGAAGAGGAAGAAAGAGAAGGGGGAGGAGGAAGAAGAGGAAGGTGCCGCCCGTTAATCCTCGCGCTGCTGCGGTCATCCCCACCGTCGTCGCCGGCCCTCGCTCTTGTCGTTCTTGCCGCCAAGGTAAGCCCTACCCTTGTAGTGTTAGTAGTAGTTAGTTGTAGTGTTAGTAGTAGTAGTTAGTAGTGTTTGTTGTAGTGTTAGTTGTAGTAGTTAGTAGTGTTAGTTGTAGGGTTAGTAGTAGTAGTTAGTAAATAGTAGTAGTTAGTAAGTAGTAGTGGTTGTTAGTAGTAGTTAGTAGTGTTAGTTGTAGGGTTAGTAGTAGTAGTAGTTAGTAAATAGTAGTAGTTAGTAAGTAGTAGTGGTTAGTAGTAGTAGTTGTTAATAGTTAAGTAGTTCTTAGTATTAGTACTGTTAGTAGTTAAGTAGTCGTTAGTAGTAGTGTTAGTAGTAGTTGTAGGGTTAGTAGTAATTGTTGTTGTATACTTCAATACTTTCATCTGCATGGAAAGAGAACTAAAGTACATGGCTCCTCTTGATATATTGGTGGTTGTTGACCTTTGTGCCAATGTTTGGTATATATGTGCCGGAGGAGGAGCGCCGTACCCCGGACCCCTCGGACGAGGAGGAGCTAGTTCGGCAGGCGGACGACGAGGGAGATGAGGCACAGCAGGGCGATGAGGCTGGAGGCACAGCTGGTTCGGACTCCTCTGCTGTGGCCAGGATCTACTTGCGAGGTCCCTCAAAACTCCCTGGGCCTCCGCTTCTTCCCCTACGCCCAGTGATCCGCCCCCAGGGGGACAGGTAAGTAACTTTAGATTTTGTCACAGCTACTTCATATAACCTGTTGAAAATTGTCAGAGAAACTAATAATGTTTGTTAATGACTTGTGCAGGCATTGGCTGGTTGTGTCGCCTGGTGACTCACGCAACCCCAACCACATCCTGGGTCTTGTGTGCAGGCACTTTTACCCCGGCATTGTCACGCACAAGGGGAACACTGAGCCGGCCAAATCATGGGACCACTACAAAGATGCCCCGACGCATGTGGAGATAAGCAGGAGCGGGTGAGGAGAGAGTTCTGGGTAAGTCCCGCTTGCACAACTTTGATCAATACATCGCATTCATTTGACTTTTTTTGACATAATGAATTGATACATTGTGTCTGTCTGCAGACTTTTTTAGATGTGAAGAGGGACAAGAGGACAGGGCGGAGAAGGTGATGGTGAAAAGTGCCAGGAAACGAATCACCGACATGCACTACGAGGAGCGCCTCACTTGCATCGTCAAGTACTACGCCACGCACCTTGGTGAGAAGATCACCAAGACACAGGTAAGACAGAGGACGCTGACCCGGGAACAGTACCTTGAGGTAAATGAAGAAGAATAATACTGATTCGTTTTGAGATTAAGTAGCTTTATTTTGGTCTTCTTACATCTCAAATTCTTTATGACAAATAGATAATTCCATGGTGGTGCGAGTCGTATCGGGACTGCTGAGAGATGATCGTGGACAGGTGGTTCACGGAGGGTTATATCTAGGACCACGAGGCGCGGCGGGAGCGACATATGGCAGCGACAGGCCCCACACACCATCAAGGCAGCCGCAGCCTCGGCGCGTACAAGCAAGCATGGGTACGTGAATTTTTAGTATTCTGACGCTCCATTCTGCATGTTTCTTCTAATCATCTTGTTGTCTTTCTCGCAGTCGGTGTCACATGGTGGGCAGTCCATCTCCAATTTCATGGCATATGGTCTGGCCTGCAAGGGTAAGGCGGCGTCATTATCACCTTCACCCGGATGACCGCCCGAGTCCTACAAAGACCCCGGCGTCCACACCAAGATCGGTCAGATGCAGCGTCGGAGGCAAGGTCGGTCCATGGGCCAGACTTGGATCCGAGCACCGACGACATCGATGGGACGATGGTCATGAGGCTCGGACAAGGCAAGAATCATGGGCGGTACTGGATTGGCGATGGCACCCTCGAGCCCAGCGAGATTCCCTCCCTCTCCCAGATCCGAGCACAGACCCCGAGCGGAGGCCCGGCCATACGCCAACGGCCGTCCCCTTCACAGCAGCGGGTCGACGCACTCCAGGTTAGTCCCGTTTAACTCTTCATACATTGATCTTTAAATAACTTAGTTACCTTTGCATTACTGAAACATTCGATTGAAATGTTGCAGGCCGAGAACGAGAGGATGGCTCAGGAGCTGCGGGACCTGGTGGCGAGGACCGAGGAGGCCGAGCGGGAAAGACAGGACGAGCGGGCCGAGCGAGAAAGGCAAGCCAAGCAGCTGGCGGAGATTACGACATTCCTGCAGAACTTTGGGCAAATGCACGGTGTAGCTGTGCCGCAGTTCACTCCACCGTCGCCGCCAGTTATAGCTAGTCCTGTGAGTATGAAACCAAATTACTTCGACTAGTGCTTTCATTAGATGACCACTCTAACAGATGCAATCTCTTGTCCTTTATGCAGCCTCCGTCGGCGGGTTCGAATAACCCATCTCAGGCGCAAGCAGGCGACGACACTTTTCCTTCACCAAGCACTCAATTTCCTCCCCACCGGTAGTTTGTATCTCTTTTTCACCGCTTGATGGACATGTGATGCACTGTGATCAACTATCGACTTGTTTCGATGGATATTGGACCTATTATGCTTGTGATGTTGTGTATGTGAGATATTATGTGATCGACATGTGATATATATGTGGTATTGCATTTGTGATGAGATGGATGTGATATATATGTGCTATATTGTGTTTGTGATGTCACATATGTTATATATATCTCTTATATGCTATGTTTGTGAATATAGAATAAAAAAAAATTAGCCTCTTTGCCAAGTGCCCTGACTCTGGCACTCGGCAAAGCTGGGAAATCTGCATGCCGAGTGCCAGGGCCAGGGCACTCGGCAAAGAAATTACGAAAAAAAATTAAAAAATATTTGCCGAGCGCTGACCTAGCAGGGCACTCGGCAAAGAAATTATTAAAAAAAATAAAAAAAATCTTTGCCGAGCGCCTCTGACATGACACTCGGCAAAGCATGTGCTAACGCAACCGACGCCGTGACGGTCACTTTTCTTTGCCGAGTGCCGAGATTGCACTTGCCGAGTGCCCAATAAAAGGCGCTCGGCAAAGAATTCTTTGCCGACGGATTTTTTACCGGAGGCTCTTTGCCGAGTGCTGTCCTTGGCAAAGGCTTTACCAAGGGCAAAGTAGCCGCAAAGCGCCTGAATCCAGTAGTGTGAGAGCTCATCCCTCGATCTGCTGACTTATGTGGAGTCCAGCCCGAGAGAAGATCACGTGAGACGTACCAGGTGCCGTAACCTGAGTTAGTCCACTAAACTAGCTGAAGTCTCAATACTACCAACCCAAACGTAACAAGCAACAACCGGTCGGAGATGCATTCAACACGGGGTTGAAGGACCAATGGACTGAGGACCCGTACGTAGGGCCGTAAGCTTCTCCCGCCAGTTTCTTCTGCTACCGTGAAACGAAACGAACCTCTCGAGCATTCTACGTTTCCAGGCGAGATTTTTTCGTTCTGAAAGTTGTTCCGAATGAGGCGAGATTTTTTCCTGAATGGTGATAGCCGAAGGCAGAGCAGGCGAGCGGCACCTGGCTTCAGGTTGCCCCGTGCCCAGTCCTATATGTCTTGCTGTAACTTGACTACTAACTCGAGCAGCACCTGGCAGCTATGCCGTCGACTTGTTCACTTGCTGTCATTGTGATTTGTGATACAGGCATACTACAGACTGGAGAACACTGGGCCGCCGCCGCCGCTTCTGGTTTTGACGGAACCGGCAGTCGGGTGACGTCGCACTGAATTAATTTTCCACAGAGGTCCAGTCCAGGCAACAACCGAGCGCGGTGCACCTAACCGCCTTCCCTCCGTGGCACAAGCAGCCCAGGAATTCCCTGTGCTGGCTATAGGAGCATTGCCCGTTCGACGCCTCGCACAGGTGACGCTCATCTGGCTGTTTTGTTAGCTCCTTTTTTTTTTAGATAGTTTTGTTAGCTCCAACTGGGCACGCGTTTGGTTTCTTGTGAGTTGTGACTTATAGGTCCCGTGGTCTTGACGTCTTGACCGGGTTTCGGCGAAGGCTGGTTGGTGGTGGGCCGGAGGTGGTGCAGGAGATACTCCAAACAAGCCGATTGACATGGAGGTGGGACACGCTGGGAGATGGAGACTGAAGCAGCGTGGACTTGGCGGTCTTGCGCCGGTCCGTGCCAAACCGTTGAATCAGTGATCGTCCGCTGCCTGGGAAGAAAATTGGGTGAACCTGCGTCGATAGAATTTTCTTCCGCTGCGTGATATATGATCCCTAAGCTTGTTGGTCCAGGCAAGATAGGATTTTAAGTCACTCTGTACTACATTGGGGTGATTTCAGTTAAATTCCACTCGGACCGTATATACCAATCAAAAGAATATAGTATAAGGCTATAAGCTAGTACTTGAAGCCAGGATGTTCATTTTCTAGAAGAAAATTTGTTAACGTGTGAAATTGTGCTCCAAAAATTGGGTTTCTTAAGATCTTCTTATGCTTTTAATTCTATGAGGGGAAGGTGGTTTGTATAAAGATATGTGTTTTTTTAGCTGCAAGTACTTCTCTATAATTTTTTTGGCTGCAAGTACTTCTCTATAAGACTTTTGGCTGAAAGTACTTACTTCTCTACAATTAGGAGTATATAGTAAGTGAATCAAAGCGCAAAGGTAGTTAGGTTTTTCAGTTTCAAGCCTCCTTGTTCATTTACTTGATGCGATGTGTTTGCAGTACGGGTTGCCCGCCTTCCCTCCGTGGCACAAGCAGCCCAGGAATTCCCTGTGCTGGCTATAGGCGCATTGCCCGTTCGACGCCTCGCACAGGTGACACCCATCCTCTGTGATACGGCTCCATTCCAACTCGAACCCAAGCTTAAGCACGCCCCCGTATCCGCCGTTTGTGAAGTTGCTCTTGTTATAACTTGGCACGGTGACAACCATGGTGTTGCCGCACTTCGTAGCCAATTCTTGCTCCAGATACCTGTCATGCTCATCAGTCATAATGACTACGAAGGAGTCTCCTGGGGCAGCACCTGGCGGACTCTTGAACTGCGTGCAGTTGATCTTGTATGCGTCGAATTCAGGCGGCACGGGACCGCGTGGGTCGCAGCCGAAGAGGAAGGTGAGGTTGTCGTTGTAGCTGCTGCTATGCAGCCATGTCTCGTCGAAGCTGACTTCATGGCGGACAGCAGGGCAGTCGCCGCCTGCGCCTCCGAGCACATCGCTGTCCACCAGTAGGATGGTCTGATGGTCGTAGTGGTAGGATATGTTCTCGACGGAGATCCAGGTCTGCCCCTCGAGTTTGCAGGAAATGCTCAAGTCGGTGTAGCCGCAAGAGTAGTTCCCGCTGTGATCGGCGGTTGCTTCGGTTGCGTTGGCAAGATAGAACGGGTAGTGGATTTCGACGCTGCCGCGCCAGAACGATTCCGAGCACATGGAGACGTTCAGACGTTGTAAGTGCTCAGAAGAAGTTTGGTCAGCACAACCGTACCAGAGCTACCCATGATTCCCATGAAAAGGTTTGGTTTGAACGTAGAATAGGAATAGTACTCCGTAGACTGGTCCACTCAGCACTTCGTCTTGTAGTGCAGGCAAATCGTCTTGGTTCATAAACGTATCTGCTGGGTTAACGTTCGCGGTGACAGAAAGCTCCGTCGAAAATGGATTGAAGTCTAGTAGGAAGTCAAGATACGCGCTGTCCTGCAAAATGTTCTAACACGGTAACTCGTCCCCGTTAATCATTGTCAATCTTTACAGGACTTGCGAAGTCAGTCGTGATAGAAAAATTTCCACGTCCAGTGGAGGGACTTTTGTCACACAGTGGAGGTCTGGGTCGATCGCTTCCTTCGAAGTTCGGACTTTTGTGCCTGTGGAAATTAGTTGGCTCTGGAGACACGGAACGCGGTCATCTGTTAGGAAGCTACCCGGGCGGCCGGGGAGCGGAGTGGAGGCAAACATGCACGCAGGCGGCGGAACCGCTATAGCCGACGGTCACTTATGAGTGCGGACAGCTGAAATCTCAGCTATGACCACATCGGTTGAGCACTCTGACTTCGGTAAGCTCCGACTCTTAAAGCCTAGTGATCATCTCTAGTCCTCAGTTCAAGTATTTTCAGGAATTGGGCGTCGCGATTCTGATCTGAATTGTAATGAAGAGTTTAGTCACTATTTTAATTTGTGTAATGTATTCCATCGCGATTTAAATTTTAAACCCGGACCACCTACTGAATTTGTAATGCATCTGTCCAGTGATCTTAGTGTACATACATGTACACAGAAGAGAATCAGTGTTAGCAGCTAGTCTGAAGTATGAACAAAGTACTCTAATACCATCATACTGTGTCGTATGAGGCTACGAGCACCCCTCTCCAGAAATTCCTATGTAGTTCTGCATACTATATAACAAATATTTGCATTTGTACAACCTGGTAACGCTAGCAACATTTATTAGTAGGAAAATATCTATGCTTGACAGCTCAAGGGAACTTTGGGTGGCAATTCCAGATTACTTGTGCTCCCTTCCAGCATCTCGACGACTATCAGTTGGAATCACTTGTATGCACCACAAACCTACAACTATCATCTTTCTCACGAGTTCTGTGGTCTCGCCATTGATCTAAGAAGCACTGATACAGTAGTCGTCCAAATGTTCATAAATCCACCGTGGGAAATATTGGCTACTAGATTCACTATTTGCACTTGTATTCTTGTCCCTTGCTCCAACCATCTCAAGGACCGTCATTCCATAACTATAGACATCTGACTTGCTACTTACTATTCCAAATTGCTTTGAGTAAACCTCTGGGGCAATATAACCTATTGTCCCTTTTGCACCAACAATGGAGATAGCACTCTCTTTATTAAGGCATAGCTTGGCCAATCCAAAGTCAGAGATCTTAGAACAGAAATCCTGATATAATAGGATGTTATGTGGTTTGATGTCAAAATGCACGATCTGAGTGTTGCATCCCCGGTGGAGATATTCAATTCCTCTGGCCGTGCCAATTGCTATGTCAAATAATTTCTCCCAACTTAGTAAATTTCCGCTATTCATGTTGCCGTTGAAGGCATACCTTTTGAACGAACCATTAAGCATGTACTCGTAAATAAGTGGCCTTTTAGATCCTTGCAAGCAAAATCCTAAAAGTGTCACAACATTGACATGAGAAGTTCTGCTAATACTAGCCACCTCGTTCATAAATTCCTTACCATCACCTTTGGTGTCCTTTAGCATCTTAACCGCTACCTGGCGGCCATCATGGAGGTTGCCTCTGTATACGGCACCAAATCCACCTTGGCCTAGCTTCACAGCAAAGGATTTCGTCATTATTTTAACATCTGCATAAGTGTATCTTTTCGGATGTTGGTTCCCGTTCTTTTGTAGAAATGATTCAATCCTTGGTTCGTCCTTCGATTTGTGGGGCAGCCAATCATATTTACATGCCAAGAAAAATGTGAGAATAATTAGACACAGGAATAGAAGGGACGACGTGCCTGCAACAATATCTGCACCACAAAAACATCACCAGTCAATTCAACTGCAAAGCAATCTAAAAATTCAATTTGCAAAGAACTAATGCAACACTAGTCAGTGAGGAAACTCATCAGATTATTTGCCCAAAGGGAGGATGAAATTTATGTATGTTGCTGTCTTTGTTTAGTGGATTCCGAATTAATTTTTGAGAATTATGGATTTTCAAACATGACATGTCAATAATTCATTATATGCTTTTCTTCTGCTCTTATAGACTACAGTTTTTCACGACCTCGATCATGAGCATGTATTTCATTAAGAAAGAAGCAATTACAGTAAAGGCTGATAAACCTGAGCTTACCAAAACACTGAAGAAAAAAATATAGACTGAAAAAAAGCAAACAACGCCGCCGGCAAAAGAACTTAGAGAACTAAATTACTAACAGAACAAAGGTGCCGACGAAAACAGCCACGCTGTCTTTTAGACTACATCAAGATGGGTACTGACTATAGGCTGTGTAGTGCTTACAAGTAATAATGATCCCTTTTTTCCCTTTTGATGCTGTATGCCAACGAACAAAAGACAATGCCAGATTTGAGCAAGATTAAGGTGATTCACGTCAAACAGAAACACAAAGCACAAATGCATTACTAAAGACAATGTGAGTTTTACTAGGTTTATAGAAAATAATATCAACGTTTGTATCTTTAAATAGGTTTAATCTGAAAATATATTCCATAATTAACGTGACTATTAGAATGCGAATAGCCTAGATGTCATAAGTCAGAACGAAGAGTCCCGTCGTACGAAGAGTTATGTAATCCCTTATATAAACTGTTGATCAATGAATGGTCTCCGCCTCGACTGTCGATGGGTGGCGGGACATCCTCCCCCGGCAGGAGACGCATCTGACGGCCGCCTCGGTTGAGCCTCATCCAAACCAGCTCCTGAAGGCCCGGAGGATCCACGCAGAGTTTTGCGACAGATGTTTCAACTGTCTCTCCTACTCGCACCGAGTAGCGACCTGGCAGTTGCCACGGCACTGTCTGCGCTGTCGTGGCTTCCGACACCTCACCAAGGACTGCCGGTGACCTAGGCCTGCTTCGACATCGGCGGCGAAGGGTGCCAACCTACCACGGCACTCCGCTCGTGACGACCCCCAGCCTCCCAGCACGCGCCGCACGATGGTGCGGAGGGTGACGCACAGGGGGCCATGGGGGGTGCCGCATGGCAGACGCCGCCGCCGCCGGCGCTGGACTAAGCCAAAGAAGAACATCGAGAAGGGTGCGCCTGTCGACCACGCCGACAACACAACTACTGCTGCTACACTTTGCTTCCCCAAGCCAGATCCGCTGGCTTTGGCGAGGCCTCCCGCATAGGTCGTCTCGGTCGACCCGATGCTGGAGGAACTCGCTGCCTCGCTCGTCATGAGCCGATCAGCGAGAGAGCCAGCGTCCGAGTGCCAGCCTACTCTGGAGGCTGCCTCTCTCGGGATTGAGGAATCATTGATGGATACCCGTACTCGCCTCAGTCGCTGGTGCAGGAGCTGCCATAGCTCACACCGCCTTGGGTGGGACAAGTCGACGTCAAAGATGAGATCACGGTGGCCATGCGCACCCCCAGCGACACGATGCCCAGGCCACGTGAGGCTGCTCGGCGTCTCACAAGGTTCGCAGAGGAGGTGCAATGCAAGAGAAAGTCGCCATTGATCGCCGGTCCTCCAAGGCAGAAGGCGGTAACAAAGCGCCCCCTCATCAGGAGCAGACGGATTACCGCTCAGCCGTTGTCACACGTACCGACCTCTAAGCCGGGCGAGGTACTACTCATGAAGAGGATGGGCAGTTTCTTCCACGTCCAAGGGAGCCTACGACGCCATTTTCTCAAGGAACTTGACGTCGAGCCAAGTTGAAGCTCTGGACGAGTTATTCCCAGCGACCAACACCAAGGCAGGTAGAAAGCTCTTCTCAGATGCTGGAGTAGGATCACATAGCCAGTAGCGGAGGCGCCTAGCTTCGTAGGTTGCAGCGCTGCTCTTGCTCAGTTATAGACCTTTTATGTAATATCGAAGCTTGGAGTCGTATGCTAGGATAGTCCAGCCTACGGCTCTAAGACCTCCGAGGGCGTTCGTCAGAAGCGCGTCGTTTGTATGATTAAACTCTTCATCTTAATTACAATGATGCGCAAATCTTTTGCGTATTCGAGAAAAAGAATGGATGATCAGCAGTTTATATAAGGGATTACATGACTCTTCATATGACGGGACTCTTCATTCTAGACTTATGACATTCTAGGCTATTCACATTCTAATAGTGACGATATTTCACTAGTACACAGGTGGGCTTCAATCCTGGTTAGGAACTGGTTTTAGTCCCGGTTTTCCAACAGGGATTGCGGATCCGAGACTAAAGGCTGGGATCTTTAATCCCGGGTTACGCAATCGGGACTAAAGGCCATTCTCAGAACTAAAAAATAGTTTAAATCCTTGGAGACCGCTCCTACCACTAGTAGAGAACAGACATTTGATCCTCGGTCAAAATGGGCTCTAGTCCCGGAATTTTTTGCGCCCGGGACTAGAAATACCTTTAGTCCCGGTTGGTGGCTCCAACCGGGACTAAAGGTCCCTGCCCAATGGCTACTGCGCCAGACAGAGGTGGCTGGGACCTTTAGTCCCGGTTGGAGCCACCAACCGGAACTAAAGGTATACTTTTACTCCCGGTTGGTGGCTCCAACCGGGAGTAAAGGTCTACTCCCGGGCCGTGGCTACGCCCGGGGTTGGAAAGTTACTTTTAGTCCCGGTTGGAGCCACCAACCGGGACTAAAGGTCCCCCCTTTATATCCCGCGGCCGTCTCCTTCTTCCTCCCCGAGCCTGAGCTCAGCACATTTTGAAGCTCACTGCACTAGTGTTCTTGCTTCCTCCCTCCCTCCATTGTTCCTCCATCCATTATTCGATTCCTCCGTCGATTTCTTCGATTCCTCCGTCGATTCTTTAGTTGTAAAGGTTACCAATCTCATACTCTCATTTTTCACCATTGTCTTATCTCATTTTGGTCACTATATTTATATATATGGTTCTTTATTGTGGTTTTTTTCATTTGTAAGCAATTTGAGCTCAAAATCACTTCAAGCTTGCATATTTACATGAAATAAGGTTAAAGTAGCTAGTTGAACTTGCGGACCGTGTTCATCTCGGCGAGCATGTTCTCTGCCGAGTGGTAACGGACGTCAAGGAGGAGCTTTGATTCTACGAGGGAGAGCGGCAACGGTCGTGGAAGACCGTGTTCCCTTCCTCGTAGAATCGGAGCTCTTTTGTGGCCAAGTACGGTGCCGTCCGGTGGAGAAATGCTCGCCGAGATGATCACGTAAGCAAGTTCAACTAGTACGGATGGTTATTTATTCATATGTCCCAATATCGTCGCAGCAGTCTGTCAATCACCATACCCAAACGTAGTATATATATAAATATAAACTTAGAAAATAGTTAGAAAATTATAGAAAATCCGTACTAGTTGAACTTGCGGACCGTGTTCATCTCGGCGAGCATGTTCTCTGCCGAGCGGTAATGGACGTCAAGGAGGAGCTTTGATTCTACGAGGGAGAGCGACAATGGTCGTGGAAGACCGTGTTCCCTTCCTCGTAGAATCGGAGCTCTTCCGTGGCCAAGTACGGTGCCGTCCGGTGGAGAAATGCTCGCCGAGATGATCACGTAAGCAAGGTCAACTAGTACGGATGGTTATTTATTCACACGTCCCGATATCGTCGTAGTAGTCTGTTATGTGTGTACACTCCCATTCTTCTGTTAATTTGCGGAAATATCATGTGAATTACTTACCGCCGCAAGAGAAAAGAGCGAGAACACAATGACCATTAAAAATATCATTGTTTAGAGATCTAGATAATTTTATAGTTTCTTAATTTTATTTGTTTATAAAAGGAGAAATTTATAGTGTATTAAAAATGAGTATAGAGAGTAGATGTGGCTGCCCGGGTCCTCGGCCTCTCATGGGTTTCCAAAGCGACTTAGGGCGGGCCTCCCTCTCATTCCATGCGGCAAGTGTCGTGATGAGATGAAGATTGTGATGGAGTACCGAGTGAAGAAGGAGGGTCCCAATAAGGATCGTATCTTCTACAAGTGTCCGGATCGCAATGTGAGTTATTTTATCGTATTTAATGATTATGGTTAGTTTATACCTATTTTCATGATGGTTGTGATTAAAGTTCTAATTTTTGTTTTAATTTCAGTGGGATGGCAAAGTGGGACGATGTTCGGGCTTCTCTTGGGAGGAAGAGTATGTTGAACTCGTGCAAAAATATCTTGCACAACAGTGAAGACGGCGGCTAATGAGGCGTTGATCCGGCCGAGGAAGCCCAAAGATGTTTACAATCGGGGATCTGTCTATTTTTAGTTGAGATTGGTCGTGAAATCGTAGTGCTCTTTGAAATGTATTTTAGCTTTAGTTCTTTTAGTGGTAGTTGGGATTGTCTACATTGTAGCGATGCTTTCATAAATTTGTATCTTTTGTGGTGGCACGCATGTTGTATAAATAATTAATTATGATCTAGGTTTTAATATGGTATTTATGTCATGTAATGCAGATGAGCCGTCATTGGATGTATAATGCTGATCGCCGCTCCCAAGAGTTCATTGATTGGCGTGCATTCTTTGTTACGTCTTGGCGCCGAGGCAAACAAACGCTTGACGGTTTCATATCTTTGCCCATGTGCCATATGTAAGAATACGGTGGAATATCCTTGCTCAAG